AAGTGAGAAACACCATAGATGTGAAGAAGGAAATAATACAGAAGTGGAATGATGTCCAAGTGGAATGATGTCCAAATGTTTGTGGAGAAGTACCACCCTGAGCAAGCTGAAACAAGCCATCTTTGCAACAAGTTCACTGACAGTACCATGTCCCATTTTAGGTAAATCTTAAAGAGGCACCAGAAACAGAGGACTGTGGACAGTTATTTTGTGAGACAGGGGTCCAGTGACTCTCAAGCTGATCCTAGTGGCATTAAAAGACAGAGAAAGGAAGTAACCCCAGAGAGGGCTTTGATACCTAAAGTCCTTATGGAGGAGGATTCCCCTTCCAAACTCCCTCTCTATCTTCTAGATGCCATCACCAAACTTCAATAAAGATAAGTAAAATGTTATTTTATATGTTTATTTAAATTTATTTATACATAATTGAACACTATATTTGTTGTGTGTATGTAAAACTATAATTAATCTCTATAAAATGTTATGAATGAGAAGAAGCTGGATGACCTGGCTTTAAGTGAAACAAAGCTGAAGGGGGTGGGAGAGTTTAAATGGAGAGGAATAAATGGGATTAGGTCAGGGGTTTCAAATAGAGTTAGAGCTAAAGAAGGAGTAGCAATAATGTTGAAGGATAAGCTATGGCAGGAAAAGAGGGACTATAAATATATTAATTCAAGGATTATGTGGAGTAAAATAAAGATTGGATGTGAAAAGTGGGTTATAATAGTGTGTATGCACCTGGAGAAGAGAGAAGTGTAGAGGAGAGAGAGAGATTTTGGGAAATGTTGAGTGAATGCGTGGGGAGTTTTGAATCAAGTGTGAGAGTAATGGTGGTTGGGGATTTCAATGCTAAAGTGGGTAAAAATGTTATGGAGGGAGTAGTAGGTAAAATTGGGGTGCCAGGGGTAAATGTAAATGGGGAGCCTTTAATTGAGCTATGTGTAGAAAGAGATTTGGTAATAAGTAATACATATTTTATGAAAAAGAGGATAAATAAATATACAAGGTATGATGTAGCACGTAATGAAAGTAGTTTATTAGATTATGTATTGGTGGATAAAAGGTTGATGGGTAGGCTCCAGGATGTACATGTTTACAGAGGGGCAACTGATATATCAGATCATTATTTAGTTGTAGCTACAGTTAGAGTAAGAGGTAGATGGGAAAAGAGGAAGGTGGCAACAACAAGTAAGAGGGAGGTGAAAGTGTATAAACTAAGGGAGGAGGAAGTTCGGGTGAGATATAAGCGACTATTGGCAGAAAGGTGGGCTAGTGCAAAGATGAGTAGTGGGGGGATTGAAGAGGGTTGGAATAGTTTTAAAAATGCAGTATTAGAATGTGGGGCAGAAGTTTGTGGTTATAGGAGGGTGGGGGCAGGAGGAAAGAGGAGTGACTGGTGGAATGATGAAGTAAAGGGTGTGATAAAAGAGAAAAAGGTAGCTTATGAGAGCTTTTTACAAAGCAGAAGTGTTATAAGAAGAGCAGAGTATATGGAGAGTAAAAGAAAGGTAAAGAGAGTGGTGAGAGAGTGCAAAAGGAGAGCAGATGATAGAGTGGGAGAGGCACTGTCAAGAAATTTTAATGAAAATAAGAAAAAATTTTGGAGTGAGTTAAACAAGTTAAGAAAGCCTAGGGAAAGTATGGATTTGTCAGTTAAAAACAGAGTAGGGGAGTTAGTAGATGGGGAGATGGAGGTATTAGGTAGATGGCGAGAATATTTTGAGGAACTTTTAAATGTTAAGGAAGAAAGAGAGGCAGTAATTTCATGCACTGGTCAGGGAGGTATACCATCTTTTAGGAGTGAAGAAGAGCAGAATGTAAGTGTGGGGGAGGTACGTGAGGCATTACGTAGAATGAAAGGGGGTAAAGCAGCTGGAACTGATGGGATCATGACAGAAATGTTAAAAGCAGGGGGGGATATAGTGTTGGAGTGGTTGGTACTTTTGTTTAATAAATGTATGAAAGAGGGGAAGGTACCTAGGGATTGGCAGAGAGCATGTATAGTCCCTTTATATAAAGGGAAAGGGGACAAAAGAGACTGTAAAAATTATAGAGGAATAAGTTTACTGAGTATACCAGGAAAAGTGTATGGTAGGGTTATAATTGAAAGAATTAGAGGTAAGACAGAATGTAGGATTGCGGATGAGCAAGGAGATTTCAGAGTGGGTAGGGGATGTGTAGATCAAGTGTTTACATTGAAGCATATATGTGAACAGTATTTAGATAAAGGTAGGGAAGTTTTTATTGCATTTATGGATTTAGAAAAGGCATATGATAGAGTGGATAGAGGAGCAATGTGGCAGATGTTGCAAGTGTATGCAATAGGTGGTAAGTTATTAAATGCTGTAAGGAGTTTTTATGAGGATAGTGAGGCTCAGGTTAGGGTGTGTATAAGAGAGGGAGACTACTTCCCGGTAAAAGTAGGTCTTAGACAGGGATGTGTAATGTCACCATGGTTGTTTAATATATTTATAGATGGGGTTGTAAAGGAAGTAAATGCTAGGGTGTTCGGGAGAGGGGTGGGATTAAATTTTGGGGAATCAAATTCAAAATGGGAATTGACACAGTTACTTTTTGCTGATGATACTGTGCTTATGGGAGATTCTAAAGAAAAATTGCAAAGGTTAGTGGATGAGTTCGGGAATGTGTGTAAAGGTAGAAAGTTGAAAGTGAACATAGAAAAGAGTAAGGTGATGAGGGTATCAAATGATTTAGATAAAGAAAAATTGGATATCAAATTGGGGAGGAGGAGTATGGAAGAAGTGAATGTTTTCAGATACTTGGGAGTTGACGTGTCGGCGGATGGATTTATGAAGGATGAGTTTAATCATAGAATTGATGAGGGAAAAAAGGTGAGTGGTGCGTTGAGGTATATGTGGAGTCAAAAAACGTTATCTATGGAGGCAAAGAAGGGAATGTATGAAAGTATAGTAGTACCAACACTCTTATATGGGTGTGAAGCTTGGGTGGTAAATGCAGCAGCGAGGAGACGGTGTTGGAGGCAGTGGAGATGTCCTGTTTAAAGGCAATGTGTGGTGTAAATATTATGCAGAAAATTCGGAGTGTGGAAATTAGGAAAAGGTGTGGAGTTAATAAAAGTATTAGTCAGAGAGCAGAAGAGGGGTTGTTGAGGTGGTTTGGTCATTTAGAGAGAATGGATCAAAGTAGAATGACATGGAAAGCATATAAATCTATAGGGGAAGGAAGGCGGGGTAGGGGTCGTCCTCGAAAGGGTTGGAGAGAGGGGGTAAAGGAGGTTTTGTGGGCAAGGGGCTTGGACTTCCAGCAAGCGTGCATGAGCGTGTTAGATAGGTGTGAATGGAGACGAATGGTACCTGGGACCTGACGATCTGTTGGAGTGTGAGCAGGGTAATATTTAGTGAAGGGATTCAGGGAAACCGGTTATTTTCATATAGTCGGACTTGAGTCCTGGAAATGGGAAGTACAATGCCTGCACTTTAAAGGAGGGGTTTGGGATATTGGCAGTTTGGAGGGATATGCTGTGTATCTTTATATGTGTATGCTTCTAAACTGTTGTATTCTGAGCACCTCTGCAAAAACAGTGATAATGTGTGAGTGTGGTGAAAGTGTTGAATGATGATGAAAGTATTTTCTTTTTGGGGATTTTCTTTCTTTTTTGGGTCACCCTGCCTTGGTGGGAGACGGCCGACTTGTTGAGAAAAAAAAAAAAAAGTTTTTTTTTTTTGTGAATATTTTTGGGTTTCTGGAACAGATTAATTGTATTTCCATTATTTCTTATGGGAAATATTACTTCGTTTTTCAGACTTTTCGAATTTAGAACTAACTCCTGGAACGGATTAAGTTCGATATTTGAGGTTCCACTGTATATTGTACTGTATGTATTATATTCCATTTAAGTCTCTAAACTACTGCTTTAAAGCACTGTATAGTATTTTCCTTATAATCTAGTTACTTTTTCCTCACCCTAAGTTGTACTTAACAGTACATACAGTGGACCCCCGCATAACGATCACCTCCGAATGCGACCAATTATGTAAGTGTATTTATGTAAGTGCGTTTGTACGTGTATGTTTGGGGGTCTGAAATGGACTAATCTACTTCACAATATTCCTTATGGGAACAAATTCGGTCAGTACTGGCACCTGAACATACTTCTGGATTGAAAAAATATCGTTAACCGGGGGTCCACTGTATATGTCAATTCCAATAAAACATGATTACTTCTGATTCAACTAAGTTGAGCCAGAAAAGTCATAATGCAGGACTCTTATCTGTTTCTGTTGCTGTTAGTTCTTCCTCTTACTGTTGGTTACCTTCTTTCTCTATCTTACTGTATCTCAAATCTCTCTTCAATGGAGTGAGTACTGCATATCAATAATTAATTAATAAAAATTACGTTTGTAAAATAGAAAAAAGTAAACCAAGCAATTCCAGAAATTTGCAATGTAACATTTTCTAAGGTATGGCCTCATTACACCATCAACTGCTGTTACCCCACCTTACAGTACTACAAATCCAATAACAACAGCAATTTAGAGAATATCTCCTAAAGCAGCTATTACTATTATTACGTCACAATGGGTACACCAGTAGTATGCTCCTACCCTACCCTATATGATAGTTTTATAGGAAGAACATCAGCAGTATGCAGTTACTCTACACTATATGTCCACATGTCCTATTTCACTACACTGAATGGGTATTTTTTTTTATTTAGGTATTGTATACATGACACAAATTTTTCCACTGTGACTTACTATTATTATTATATTTAAGGGATGTGCTAAACCCATAGGGGCCATACAATCAATTTTGATTTAATTAATTGGGGTGGGTGGTAAGATATTACGAAAAATTAAAGATTTTGTTCAGATTTCTAACCCCAAGGGGCTAACCATCCAGGAAAACCCAAGAAAGTCAATGTGTCATCGAGGACTGTGTCTTATTTCTATTGGGGTCCTGCAATCTTGTCCCCCAGGATGCGAACCACATCAGTTGACTAATACCAAGATACCTACTTATTTGCTAGGCGAACAGGAACAGCAGGTGTAAGGAAACACATCCAATGTTTCTGCAGGTCAGGGATTGAACCATGGATACTCAGTGTGTGAGGCGAGTGCATTGCCTAGCAGGCAAGTCTATGCTAGAAGTCAGAAGTCTATACTAGAAGTTCCATGAAGTTTGCCTAAAAATAGAGAAAAACAATAAACGAGTTTTTGTATGGCAACACCGTAGTAACTTTTTTTTTGTAAAATTGGTAATACTTTGGATGCTGTAGGTGACTTTACATGAGCAAGTAAAGGCTAAAGACATACATGTTTGCTATAGGGAAATGAACCCTGTGGCCCGGTGGCTAAAGCTCTCGCTTCATACGGCGAGGGTCTGGGTTTGATTCCCAATGAGGGTAGAAACAACGGGCGTGTTTCCTTACACCAGTTATCTATGTTCACCCATCAGTAAAATGGGTACCTGGGAGTTAGTCGACTGGTGTGGGTCACATCCTGGGACAAAACTGACTTAATTTGCCTGAAATGTTCTGCATAACAAGCTGCTTTTCTATAATAGTATGTCACTGATGTCAGCTAGGCCTGTATACCTTGTACATGTACTTGTAGAAATAAAGATACAGTATTATTATTATTATATGTCATTATCAAATTTTTGGGGGGTAGACAATATATTTTTTGGAGGAAAGGAGGGTCAGCAAAAGCTATTACAAATTCCAGAAGGGGGCTTTGTAAAACCATAATTCTTGAATAAGGTGTGTAAAACTCACAAGAATACAGCCTCTCCTCACTTAACGATGGAGTTCCGTTCCTATGACTACATCAATAAACGAATTCGTCGCTAAGTGAGGAGCATATTATAATGGTAGTGGGATTGTGTCTACCATCTTTGATATTATTTTAATGCTAGCTTTGCACCATTTATAACATTCCTGGTAGTATATTCTCAAATGCTTATACAGTAGTCTACTGTATAATGTAATAAACAGAATAGAGGAAATCATCTCTAACATACATTATTTACGTATGCATACCAGTCAGAGAGCCCGTTGTAAGGTCAAGGCATCAGTAAACGAGTACATCGCTAAGTGAGCAGAGGCTGTATATGCATAAATAATGAAGAAAAAGTTACTAATAAGAGAAGAACTTACTTTTGAGAAAAAACACATGAAACATCATTATTAGCACTCCAACAATGTTGATATGTACACCTACCATCCAACTTACGACCTGCTCGACATACGGCCACTCGACTTACGACCATGTTTTTTATGCCAGAGATCTGGGAAATAAACAACTGTTTGTGTTGCACACAGTGTTTATCCTAAACCTGACGGTATAAAATACAGTACTAACAGCATAACAAGTAAAGTAAAAAATGAAATACCAAAATAAAACAATAAAATAAAATCATTACAATAGTGTGATGTTGATATTCAATAGTAAGATTTGACTTACGTCCATTTTGACTTACGACCAATTGGTCGGAACCAAGCTTGGTTGTAAGTCGGATGGTACCTGTATTATACGAAGTACGAGCTTCACACAGGGTACTTTAGAAGACCAAGAACCAAAACCTAAAACAAAAAATGTGTAATTTGCAAAAATAGAGAAAAATTTTGGACTTGTAAGTGGAGAATATGCACAACAACGTCAAACAATGGATAGTAGGTACTGTTCGCATCATTATATCATATCGATATATCATTATTATAATACAGTGGACCCCCGCATAACGATTACCTCCGAATGCGACCAATTATGTAAGTGTATTTATGTCAGTGCGTTTGTACGTGTATGTTTGGGGGTCTGAAATGGACTAATCTACTTCACAATATTTCTTATGGGAACAAATTCGGTCAGTACTGGCACCTGAACATACTTCTGGAGTGAAAAAATATCGTTAACCGGAGGTCCACTGTACTGATATAATATTTATATAATATTATTGATATATCTATATTATAATACATTATTATTGTACAGTATTAATAATACACAATACAAAATAATTAGTACAGTACTTACCATTTACAAAGGTGTTAAAAGGGCATATATGTACAGTGGAACTCTGGTTTCCGTCTGGTCCGGTTATTGTAAAATTCAGTTTTCTACCACTTTTTTCAGTGAAATTTTCACCATTTTCGTACAACTGCTCGGAAACTGTCCATACCAGACATATCCGCCTGCCCGCGGGACATGGCCTCTCATACGTTCATGATTCAGTCTGCCTTTTTTACTCGTTCAATGAGCATTACTCCTCGCATTCATCCAAAACAAGACCTTCATCTGGAACAGCAACAGACCTTAGTTGAGGAAACTGCTTCAAAGGAGGAGGAAGAAAGAGGAGATTAAGGACGTCTGTGCAAAGTGGAGTGAGGTGCAAAGTTTTGTGGAGAAATATCACCTTAACAGAGCTGTTGCAAGCCATGTCAGCAACATGTTCAATGACAATGCCATGTCCCATTTTAGGAAAGTCTTAACGAGATGCCAGAAACAGGCCTCTCTGAACAGTTTTGTGCAACAGAGGTCAAGGGACTCTCAAGCTGGTCCTAGTGCCAGGAAAGGACAAAGAAGGGAAGTATCCCTGGATAGGGCTTTGATACCTGAATTCCTTATGGAGGGGGATTCCCCTTCCAAACAACCACCTCTCCTCCCTCTCTCCTTGCCGTCTTCCATACATCAACAAGAGTCTTCAATAAAGGTAAAAGTGATGTTAAGTGTTCATTTATTCATTTCATTAGTCATTTATATTTATTTCTCATTGTTTTCTGTATGTAAAACTATAGTTATTCTGTATAAAATGTATTTTTTGTTAATATTTTTGGGTGTCTGGAACAGATTAATTGGATTTACATTATTTCTTATGGGAAATATTACTTCAGTTTTCATACAAATTGGTTTTCGGCCGACCTCCTGGAACGGATTAAAGACGAAAACCGGGGTTCCACTGTACTCCATCTATTGAGCACCAGGGTCATAATTTTTGGGTTATCCTAGGTAATTTACAGATGTATAATAATTGTACTTATATGTATCTGTGCCTAAATAAAGTTACTTACTGTACTTACTGATATGAAATGGCCTTAACTAATTTGCTTTGGCCTTTTACCAAAGGTACTTGCATTTTATTCTCCATATGTCTGAGTTCTGATTGCATTAATTACAAATACAAAGACAAATTGTTATTTTCTTTGCAAAGATTACAATGTGTGATTTGCATATTATATAATGTTATGTACAAAGAAAGCCACTAACCTGCCTGAGCATTTCAGGCAGACTAATCAATGCTTATACACTACTTAAAACTACACATAGGTTATGGAGTGGTAAATTTTAATTATTCATTATTTTGCATTATTACAATAGAGAGCTAGCCAAAATATTATAATTACTAGGATTTATAGTAGAGATGTAGTAAAAAAATAATAGTATCACAATTAGTACATTTTACAATGCTACAACAATACAATTTTAAGTGTGTATTAATATTTTATATAGATCTAGCTATCCTAAGGTTTTTTGGGGGGATTTCTTGAGCAGTTTCAAACTAGTTAAATGATTTAGTATGTGTTGGTATAGTTAAGCTTGAGAGACGAGATTTTTTTTATTATAGCCCTTAATTGATTGGCAGACAGGGAAGCTTTTGCTGGTTCAGGCAATGAATCCCAGATCTTAGGGCCCTTTATGTGCATTGCATTTTTGCACAGGGTGAGATAGACACAAGGGATGTCAAAGACAGTTTTGTGCCTTGTGTTGTGCCTGTGTGTTCTGTTGTAGGTATCAAGGAGAATTTTGAGAGGAGGGTTTATATTGGAGATTAATGTTCTGTACATATGGTAGGCACAATAATATGAGTGCATATTTTGTATATTAAGTAGGTTCAAACTCTTAAAGAGTAGAGAAATGTGTTGTCTGGTGCGGGAGTTGGTAATCACCCGCACAGCAGCTTTTTGTTGGGTTATTAATGGTTTGAGCTAATTAGTCATAGTAGATCCCCAAACACAAATGCCATAGGTGAGATAAGACTAAATTCAGAAAGTGGTATAGTAAAAGTAGTGGCATTGTTGGGTACATAGTACCATATTTTGGAAAGGATGTCTACTATTTTGGTGACTTTCTTGGCTATATGTTGGATGTGGGTCTATAATTTAAGGGTGCAGTCAAGGTGTAGATCTAAAAATTTGCTCTCAGTGTCTTATTATAGGAGAACCAGTTATATGCTAAGTTGGATATTTAAGGCTCTGTTTCTAAACAGTATGTAGTAGGTTTTGTCTATATTAAGAGCGAGTCTGTTGGTTGTCATCCACGTAGCTAAGCATAGTAAGGTTTGAGTGGGAGAAGACACAAGTAGTGTCATCTGTGAACAGAACTGGTTTAAGCAGATAAGATGCATTGGGGAAATCATTTATGTAAATGAGAAAGAGCAGAGAGCCAATGACACTGCCCTGTGGCACTCCAACAGCTACAGGCTGGATAGTTGAGGTTATGCTATTTGTGGAGACATACTGGTGTCTACTGCTAAGATAAGGGTTAGACACCCAGGATTACCCAAGAAAGTCAGTGCATCATCGAGGACTGTCTAACTTATTTCCATTGGGGTCCTCAATCTTGTCCCCCAGGATGTGACCCACACCAGTCGACTAACACCCAGGTACCTATTTGCTGCTAGGTGAACAGGACAACAGGTGTAAGGAAACGTGCCGAAATGTTTCCACCCGCCGGGAATCGAACCCAGGCCCTCCGTGTGTGAAGCGGGAGCTTTAGCCACCAGGCCACTGGTATGCCCTCTTACTCCATAATGTTCTAGTTTAAGGAGCAGGATATTGTGATCCACTGTATCGAATGCTTTCAGAGGTCTATGAAGAGCCCCAGAGGATATCTATTTTTTTCAAGAGCTGCATGTAGCAGTTTGAGCATTTGTATAATTGCATCATTCATACTTTTTTCTTGGCCTAAACCCAAACTGGCAGCAGTTAAGTATGTTGTGAGTTATTAGGTAGGAGTAAACTAGTTTATGAATTATTTTTTCAAAGATTTTTGATAACAAGGGTTATTCACTTCAACTGGATCACCTCCTTTGTGAATCGGGGTAACCCTTCCTATCTCAAGTATAGAAAGAAAAGTTGAAAATTCCACTGATTTGTTAAACAGAGTTGTAATAATGGGGGAAAGTACATGTGCTGCTTTTTTGTACACAAGTGGTGGTAAGTTATTTAGGTTTCCTGTCTTGTTTTTAAGTGACTTTAAGTAAGCAAGTTCATTCAGGTACAGGTAAATATAAATACAGTTATATAAATTATTGTACACAACAGCATACGTCTGGATTACCCAGGATAACAAAAAAAAAAAAAAGGTCAAAGTGACTTATTTCCATGGGGGGGAGGTTCTTGTAATACCTTATTAATTAAACCTTAAAAGTTAAAACAGGTAACTTAACTATGGGAAAAGTAGTTACAATACAAGGAGATATACTTTATGATGAGTGAGACTATCTGAGGCCCTATTTCAGCATCATCAGAAAACTCATATCACTATTTCCCCTCCCCCCTCATTTATGTAGATTGTGAACAACATGAATCCCAATAACGAACCCTGTGGCACACCACTTGTAATGGGTCTTCGTTCTGATTTCTCCCCATTTATGCACACACTATGTTGCATGTCTGTCAGACACGACTCAACTCAAATATAATTTCTCGTACAGTACCATGTGTTGCTACTTTCTTCATCAGTCTCCTGTGTGGAGCTCCATCAAAGGCTTTACTGACATCAATTTGTTTAATGCTGAAGCGCTAAACCTGTCAAGGCCATACAGCTTACTACTTTCTTTATCTAGGTCTACCGCCTCAAATGCCTTAGTGAAAAAATGGTTAGTGAATTCGTAAATCAGTAAAACTACACTGATTCATTAATCAAATTATATAATTCAAAGTGGCTCCAAATTGCATCTGCAATTACTGATTTCAGCAAACTTCCCCACAATCTAGGTTTATCATTTGAAGCCAATTATTATTATTATAATCATGGGGGAGCGCTACACCCATAGGATTATACAGCGCATGTGGGGGATATTATTATTAATATAATCAAGGGGGAAGCGCTAAACCCGGAGGATTATACAGCGAATTCAGGCTTAATTCGGGGAAAATTTGTAAATTCGGGAAAAAATGTCATTCATACTACCGCATGTGGAGGAGTGATTTCTTATACGTATATCTAACATATGATCTGATCACATCACAAGGACCCCAATGGAAGCAAGTCACTTTGTCAGACTTTTTTGGGTTATCCTAGGCAATCTACACGTACGTTGTTATGTATGATAATTTATGTGCACCTGTACCTGAATAAACTTACTCCACATCTTCGAAACACAGCACAGTATAGTTAATCTTCGTGTTGGGGGTTTTAGGGCCACTGGCAGCTTACGCCGTCTCGAGTCCTGCCTTCCGGTGTCCGGTGTCGGTAACCTCGCGTTCCTCGACCAAAGAGTTAGTTAGTTTAATATGTTTATTATGCACCCCATACCCATCCTGTGGGCGGTAGTCAAAAGATTACAGAGGTACATAATTGGTCCAGGGACTGGACTCCAAAGTTTTGATAGCTGAGCAAGTTACAGAGGCAATGAACTCACAATTTACAAAGGTAATGAACTCACAATTTACAAAGGTAATGAACTCACAATTTACAAAGGTAATGAACTCACAATTTACAAAGGTAATGAACTCCAGGTAAGTCTGGTCACAATCATGACAAGTTACAAAGGTATTTACAGATTACAGAGGTACGTAATGGGTCCAGGGACTGGGCCCCCAAAGTTTTGATAGCTGAACTAGGTACAAAGGTAATGAGCTCACAAGTTACAAAGGTAATGAATTCTGTAGAATGGTTACTTACGTTTATACTTTGGCTACAATCATGAACAAATTATAGAGTAATGAGCAATTCACACTTCCACACCCGGTCACAACTGTAATGAGTTATTGGTGCAAATATTGATTGTTGAGTCACACACACACACACACACACACACACACACACACACACACACACACACACACACACACACACACACACACACACACACACACCCCACACACACACACACACACACACACACACACACACACACCCAAAGAGGAAATTAGTTAGTTGTGCCACCTAAGAGGCTAGTTTATTATGCACTCATCCCGTGACCGGTAGCGCAAAAAGCAGAACTACAGAGGTCACAACAGGTCTTTGTCAGACTCCACTGGGCATTGTTACATCACTTGAAATATTAGTTATTTCTTATTTTACAGTTACTTCATATGGAATACAATCTCAAAGAAAAAAAATTAATATTAAAAAACATTGGTCATAATTGGGTTGCAATCCTGTTTATAAAATCCGTTAATTTATTTAGTTTCTAGGCGATGCAAAATGTAGATACAGCCTCAAGATTTCAGATATTTTATCATTAACAATGTGGTGTTTTGCCATATCCTATAAGGTTTGCATGGAGGCGTCTCTTAAGGGATGGATGTCTGGTCATTAAGATACAATGTTCTAGTGTATGGCTCTGTCTCTGTCCACACACTATGCATTTTGTCAATGACATCTCCATGCAAACCTGCCAGATACTTATGGTCTAATCTTACTATAGTAGTAACATCTTGCAGTCTATTAACCTTGTTACTTCCTTCATAGATATGTTTAACTTGATACATTTCATTATGTTGTTCAATAGATCTGCCAGTTCCTACCTGTACTGTTCTGCTTTCTTCAAACTTGTTTGCTAATTCCTATCTGTCAATGTTTCGTAAACTTGGTAGGTAAGACACATAGGCAACAGTTAGGCAACTTTATTCCGAAACGTTTCGCCTACACAGTAGGCTTCTTCAGTCGAATACAGAAAGTAGGCAGGAACAGTAGAGATGTGAAGGCGATGTAATCAGTCCATCACCCTTGAAGTCGTAGAATTTTGAGGTTGTCAGTCCCTCGGCCTGGAGAAGTTCAGTTCCATAGTCAGGAACTATCTGAAGATCAAGCGACAGTGCGGAGACTTAAATACTGTCGGAAGGAGAGGTGCAGAGTAGTAGTAGTAGTAGTGAGAATGTAGCCACTGAGAGGTCAGGTCCCTCTCAGATCCAACAGTTCTCAATTGAAAGGGTTGTCCAAGGTGTGTTCTGTACCAAGAGGCCATGTGTTGCAGTGTCTGACAAGATGAACATCAAAATGGTATACAATACCGACAGGTTGGTAGGTAAGACACATAGGCAACAGTTAGGCAACCCTTTCAATTGAGAACTGTTGGATCTGAGAGGGACCTGACCTATCAGTGGCTACATTCTCACTACTACTACTACTACTCTGCACCTCTCCTTCCGACAGTATTTAAGTCTCCATTCATCACAAGTCTCCGCACTGTCGCTTGATCTTCAGATAGTTCCTGACTATGGAACTGAACTTCTCCAGGCCGAGGGACTGACAACCTCAAAATTCTACGACTTCAAGGGTGATGGACTGATTACATCGTCTTCACATCTCTACTGTTCCTGCCTACTTTCTGTACTCGACTGAAGAAGCCTACTGTGTAGGCGAAACGTTTCGGAATAAAGTTGCCTAACTGTTGCTTATGTGTCTTACCTACCAACCTGTCGGTATTGTATACCATTTTGATGTTCATCTTGTCAGACACTGCAACACATGGCCTCTTGGTACAGAAAACACCTTGGACAACCCTTTCAATTGAGAACTGTTGGATCTGAGAGGGACCTGACCTCTCAGTGGCTACATTCTCACTACTACTACTACTACTCTGCACCTCTCCTTCCGACAGTATTTAAGTCTCCGCACTGTCGCTTGATCTTCAGATAGTTCCTGACTATGGAACTGAACTTCTCCAGGCCGAGGGACTGACAGCCTCAAAATTCTACGACTTCAAGGGTGATGGACTGATTACATCAATCTAGATGGACTGAACACATCGACTCCAGGCTGAGGGACTGATTACCTCATACTCCTCCTCTCCTTACGCCTTCCTCTTTGTATTGGACTGATGAAGCCACTCTGTGGCGAAACGTTTCCTGAATAAAGATTCCCATATGCTGCATAAGTGTCTCAATCTTCATACTGCATATGTGTTTATATTTCCGAAGCCATCAGCGTTAATTGTCTGTGTGATAATATCCTCTGTCCTAAGGTCTTGTATGTGCTCCAGAGCACTGATTTTAGAAAGTACATAAACAAAGTTGAGGATTGTGCACGATTAGCTTCTTAGGAAGACAAGTGGACATAATATCAAAAGCTTGTTATATGTTGGGGTGTCGGGGAATGCTGTTTCTTAACGTGATACAATCCATGTAAGTAAGTAAGTAAGTTTATTCAGGTATACACAAATACAGTTACATAGATTACCATACATAGGAGTATATGTGTACAGATCTTAGGATCACCCAAACAAGTCGAAGTGACTGATTTTCAATGGGGGTCTTTTAATTCTCTAGAAACATTGCATTGATCACGCAGCAGATTCAGTCCCATCATTACATTGATTTCACATATTCTATCACTTTATATATACGTTCCTTGATGTTGGTGAGGGGCTCTTGATTTAGGGAATTGGATCTGTGCTCCAGTTCCCCGAATTAAGCCTGAATGCCTTCCACATCCCCCCCAGGCGCTGTATAATCCTCCGGGTTTAGCGCTTCCCCCTTGATTATAATAATAATAATATCACTTTATATGTGTACGAATGGTATATAATACCGACAAGATGAGAGTAAGATACTTGTGCAACATCTGGGTATCTTTATTGTAGACGTTTCGCCATCCTGGAACAGCACCATGGTGCTGTTCGCACCTACTCCTAGGTTGAGGGACTGATTACCTCATCTTCTGTACATAGTTCTACTGTCTTCAAGTTATGTCCTAGAATTTGTATTGATAAAGCCACTGGATGGCGAAACGTCTACAATAAAGATACCCAGATGTTGCACAAGTATCTTACTCTCATCACTTTATATGACGTAACTGGGTTATCCTAGTCAGTTTACAGTAACTGAATATTGATCCTCTGCATATTTTGGCAACCAAAAAAAAAAAAAAAGTTAAATATGTCCAAAATTAATTGAGTTCTGCTTACGCTTAACACTGACAAAACGTACTATATTATGTTTGGTAGCAGAGCAGGTGTTGCGCAACTTAACATTAAGATCGACAACACTCTAATTGCCAGACATAATGAGGGCAAATTCCTTGGCCTATACCTCGACAGCAACCTAAATTTCAGCACCCATATCCAACACATAACAAAAAAAGTATCCAAAACGGTGGGGATCCTCTCCAAGATACGATACTACGTGCCGCAAACTGCCCTTCTCACACTATACCATTCACTTAAATATCCATACCTCACCTATGCTATCTGTGCTTGGGGATCAACTGCAGAAACACACCTAAAGCCAATAATAACCCAACAAAAAGCCGCAGTAAGAATAATCACTAAATCCCATCCCTGGCACCCCCCTCCCCTCACTCTTCATATATCTAAACTTACTCCCTGTTCAGAACATCCACACTTACTACTGTGCAATCTATATCTACAGGACCTTAAATTCCAATATTAACCTTGACCTAAAACTCTTTCTTGATAGTTGTGACAGGATCCACAGGCATAACACCAGACACAAACATCTCTATGACATTCCCCGTGTTCGACTAAACCTTTACAAAAATTCAATGTATTTCAAAGGACCTAAAATCTGGAAGACCCTACCTGAAAACTCTAGAACTGCAGACACATTCATCACTTTCAAAACTACAGTTAGAAAACATATCTCCCTGATCCACCCCAACAACTAACTACATGATAACCACCTGGTGGTTCACAATTACACTCACCCACTGACTATAAACCCAGAAATACTAATCTTAATCTTAAAATAATAAATCCTAACTAGTCATAAGTTTGCCTATGATACTCCAATATAGACACTTTGTATTGTGCCAAAACAAAAGCATTCACATTGCTAAACTCACAAATTATTATGTAGTCACTTAGCCTTAATACCATAATCTGTAAGGATTTAATGTTAAGAATTAATCTAAGTCTGCTCAAAATGCCTAGCCAGCCTAGGTGTCCTAGTGGCCCCCTCTGTAATTAGTATTTTATAACATGTAAACCACACAATATCCAAATCCTGTAAACCCCACATTGTAACTCTTATAGAGAATAAACTTGATTTGATTTGATAACCTAACCTAACTCAACCTTACTCCATTATCGATATCAATGGAACCTTCATGTCTGTTTACATTCACTGTGATTGGCCAGACGCAGTGACTGCCTCAAATACTGATCATTGATTGGCCCTGACGCGACATTCGAGCCAAAATAAAAACAGTATTATTTTTGCTAATACCTCCCAAAATAGAAGTTTACACAAGAAATAACCATTTATTCCAGAGCGTAGATAGTTCCTTAAGTATCGTGAAATAAGCAATAACCCTTCAATTCCGCCGAGGACCAACATTCAACAATAACCCAATTTACACATAGGTTACAATGAAAGACAATTATACCAAAAATTAATCTATATTTGTGTAATATATAAAGTTAATGGGTTGAAAAGGGGGAAATATGCGTGAGGGGCGGCGCGCAACACACCTCCACAGACTGTCATGGTCAGCTGGTGCACACAACAACATCACCATCATTATCATCCACTGGGAATAATTATTATTGTTATTATTATGCTGCTGCTACGCAACTGACTTCTTGAAACCATGGAACTGGAAAAATGGCCCATATTCAGTTTACTCAAACCAGAATTTATAGAGAAGATCAAGTTGGCGTGTGTATTTGGTAAGTGGTGTTGAGGTGGTATACCTGTTTGGTGAGGTATATCTGTATTTGAGGAGGTATACCTGTGTTTAGTGAGGTGATATACCTGTTTGGTGAGGTGGTATACCTGTGTTCGGTGACGTGATATATCTGTATTTTGGTGAGGTATACCTGTTTTTGTGGTATACCTGTATTTGGTGAGGTATACCTGTGTTTGGTGCGGTAGTATGCCTGTTTTGTGAGTTGGTATACCTGTATTTAGTGAGGTGGTATACATGTATTTAGTGAGGTTATATACCTGTATTTGGTGAGGTATACCAATTGGTGAGGTGGTTTACCTCTTTGGTGAGGTGACCTACCTGTGTTTGGTGATGTTAAGATTTGTTTGATTTTTTTTTTAACCCCGAAGGTTAGCTACCCAGGATAACCCAAGAAAGCCAGTGCATCATGGAGGACTGTCTGTCTTATTTCCATGGGGGTCCTTTAGTCTTGTTCCCCAGGATGCGACCTCCACCAGTCAACTAACACCCAGGTACCTACTTACTGCTAGGTGAATAGGGACAGCAGGCATAACGAAACATGCCCAGTGTCTCCACCTGTGCCGGGGACTGAACAGCGGACACTTAATGTGTCATGCGAGTGTTGCTAACCAAGCCACGGGACACCGTGTTGATTCAGCTTGAATCCTCAGATACTCTGTCATATGCCACTGGGTCCTCAGATATTTTGGCATATGCCACTGGGTTCTCAGATACTATTGTCATGTGCCACTGGTTCGTTTTACCCTGTAGTTCTTTATACAGTAGATGATAAGACCTAAGCATCTGCTCCAAAGCACACTTCACAGCAGTGCTTTGAGAAGAGTCATGGTCCTTTTCAATAAACAAGTCTTCAACTTTACCAGCAGTATATAGTGTCTCAAGTATCTTAAGGATTGTCAACATCACTCCTTCAGGTTCAAGTTCTTCATCCTCATTGTCTTCTCTGTTTTCTACAGCTGCAACATTTCCTCTACAGTTGGTTTCTCATCATCATCTTCCAAGAGTTCATTGATGTTATCTGGCTCGATATCTTCAAATCTCTCACCTGGCACTATCCTTACCAGATCATCAATTTCTTCATCTTGAAGAAATTGCTGGTTTTCCATCTGTGGAAATTATGTGACACAAAGTCATATTTTCTCCAATCTGCACTTATTTTTGAACTTGGTACATGATTACATTCTTCTTTCACAAAGAGAAATATATCTGTAATGTTATATTTGTGCCAGAACTCTGGCATTCCACTGTCTGTCTCTATCAATTGCTGCCACTAGTTCATGGATCACACTGCATGTGTAGTGGCACTTAACTGTTTTGATAACTCCTCAATCCAGTGGTTACATCAAGGATGTCATATTTGGTGGTAAAATGATAATCTTGACATCTGGTTCCACATCCTCTAGGAGTTGAGGATCACTACAACAGTTATCAAAGACAAGGAGAACCCTGTATGCAAAATTTTTCAGGGACAGGTTTGTCCCCGCTTCAGGAATAAAGTGATGCTTCATCCACTCAGTAAAGATCTCTTTTAACTGTGACATGACATTGGACTTCCAAATAACAGGCAATGTACTCTTGTCTGTACCTTTTAAAGCATGGGGATTCTTGGGGTGATAAATGGTCTTTTGCAGTCTTGAATCCAGAACCAGTTTTCTGTTCTTTGCTGATGTATATTGTAGATGGCATCTTCCAGAATAAACCCGTCTCATCAACATTAAGCACCTGCATAAGTTTGTAACAATCCTCAGAGACAATGCTAGCTAGCTTCACCAGTAACTTTTCTATGGCAGCATGGTTGGCAGAGGCATTTTCCCCATCAAACTTTAGTATGGAAACCACTGCTTGTTCTATAACTGTTAGACTATCTAGAACTAAACATGCCCTCTTTTTTGGCCATCCTTTCTTCTCGCACGCTGTGTTATAGTATGATAAGGCTTTTTACCTAATAATAAGGCCAAGTAGAAGTCCTTTTTTTCTTTGTTTTTCATTCCTCATATTTAGTAATCTGTGTTTTTTTTTTTTTTTTTTTTTTTACTGTACTGATCTATTCCTCACTCTTTTCACTGTGTTACATTGAGGATTACTCATTGCAAAAGCCCTTATCTTTACCTTATTATCTTGAATTGACTGAGTCATTGAGTAATGCTAAATGCTCATGCCATCTCCATGATGCATGCACCACCCTTCAGCATATCAGTTTCTGTACCTCCAGCTCTTTTTCGTAATAGACATATTTTCATGCTTAATCTTCCTTGCTTCACCAGTGTCGCCTGCACTTCATTTGAAAGCCATGATAAATAGCCAGAGATGAGGGGGGAGGGGGCAATGAAAAAAAAAATGAGCGATGTGCACTGAGCTGTAATTATGCAATATGCTGCCAGATACATTGACCCGCATGGGAGACTGTTCGTATACATTCCCTCATTCCTTCCTCACAGCATTAAGACAATGGAGTTTCTTAATGCTTAGTGGGAGGTCTCAGTCCTGCTTGCCCGTCGTGGCGCTTGTTAATGGAAATACACACCACCGATTGAATTGAATTCTGCAACATGCTTTCTAATGGAAATATGCTTCTCAAGTGGAAATGAATTGCTCTCTGGCACACCTTAATAGAAATCAGTGTATTTTTATTGGAAATGAAAAGCTAAATTTAAATCTCAGAATATTGAAAATGCGTACTATGATTGTGAGAGCTAAGGTTGTCTGCTCTGTGCAGAAATCTAATATACAGAAACCCAGTTAGTGTTTGTTCCTATGTACATTATTTCATCACACAATGACAGATGCAGACATTCAGAATTCTCTTACATGATCTTAAGAGCTCTGCATATTTGTAGCCCAGAAGTAATGTATGATAAAATAATCACATAATATATGAAATAGCCTTTAATTTGGGGTATTCAAAATCTTTTATAAGTTTCCCATAACATCAGGATGAAAACAGTAAATAATTAAAAATAATTCTAGCATTGTAAAAGCCTTACATGCAATACAACTCAAATTATTATATTAGCATTTTCAAATTGAAAATTACAATTTAAACAAAGCATAGGTTATGATAACAAATACTGGATTTACTGTACATATTTCAGATTTATTACATTTTGCTAAAGTAAGATAAAAAATTCAGATGGGTATTATTAATTTGATCTTCAGTGTGAATGCATTCATTGTACGTATTTGACATAGTGTGGATATTACAGTATGTATTTTTACACACACTACCATAATCATATTGTTCATAAGTATTTTTCACTCAACAGGTAGTCTTGGTAATGAAGCAGTTATGGTAACTAAAGATGATGATGTTTATGCCCTTGGGTTCAATAGCTCTGGATGTCTTGGTGTTGGGGACCAGAACAGTACAATGGAACCACGTAAAATTGAACCTCTGTGTCAGAAAAAAGTTAAAGGTATGAATGTGAAAACCGCTTTATTATTTGATGAGTATTAACTATAAGCATGGTTTGAATACATATTCTATTACAGTGCAAACAAAATGGACTGCAACACGTAGAACAAATGTAAGTTTGTGTATTTCATAATTTTCTTGAACAAGTTAGGAGTACCAGTGATCTCAGCCCAGAATAATTATTGTTCTGGAAACTACTATGAAACCAGAAGTTACAATACAATATACGTAATTACAGTATACATGTAGTCATTCTTAAATCTATCTATAGCTACTCTGTAACTTTTAGCTTCAATGTAATGTTCCAGGTCATTAGTCTACTAATGACACTATTGCTACTCATAAAAACTTAAATGTTTAAATTACTAAAGCAGTTTTTTGTAGACATTTGTGTTAAAGTCTTGAGTTCATTTTGGAATTGAATTTTTAAATGTTTAAGATACAATAGGGCCCCACTTATTCGGCAGGTTAGGCTCCAGGCTACTGCCGGAAAGCAGACTTTGCCGGAAAGCAGAATTCCATTTTTTCCATTTATAAATGCATATAAATGCCAGATAACAAGTTTACACTAACATATATTAAGTTAGCAATAGAACTAGGCATTAAAAAGTAAAATACACACACAGTACACTCATTATTTACCTCAAAATATTTGTAGTCTTAATGTAGGGCAAAAGGTGAGTAGTGTTCACTCTTAAGAAGTCAGGTGTGGTAGCCCTCCTGGCCACCCCACCCACACATACTATACTACGATGCTTAAAGCTCCCTAGAGCAATAAAATGCACATACAATACATGCATTACTTACCTTAAAATATTTGTAGTCTTAATGCAGGGTGAGAGGTGAAAAGTATTTACAGTGGTCCCTCAATAATTGTCCGGCCTGAAAGTCGTCCATTTCGGAAATACAGTGGACCCTCACCTAACGAATGCATCGCATAACGTTAAATCCGCCTAGCGATACATTTTAATGCAAAAATTTTGCCTCGGCTAGCGCTAAAAAACTCACCCAACGCGATTCGTTCCGTTCAAGACGCGTCCACGTGTGGCCTGAGGGTTTGGGGCTAACCCTGAGACGCCTATGCCAGTTGTGGAATCCATTGTGCCTACTTCAAAGATTAAGGAAATGTGTGCAAAGTGGGTTGAACTGCAAACCTTTATGGATGAAAATCACCCTAACACAGCTATTGCAAGCCGTGCTGGTGACTATTGCAATGACAATGTTATGGCCCATTTTAGACAAATCTTAAAGGAACGGGAGGTACAGAGCGCTATGGACAGATATGTTGTGCGACAGAAGTCCAGTGACTCTCAAGCTGGTCCTATTGGCATTAAAAGAAGAGGGGAAGTAACCCCGGAAAAGGACTTGACACCTCAAGTCCTAATGAAAGGGGATTCCCCTTCTAAACATTAACACCAGCCACACTCTCCCCTCCTCCCATCCCATCAATCATCACCAGATCTTCAATAAAGGTAAGTGTCATGTAATTGTACATGTCTTCTTCAGTTTGTGTGTATTAAAATTAATATTTCATGTGGTAAAATTTATTTTTTTCATACTTTGGGGTGTCAGGGACGAATTAATTTGATTTCCATTATTTCTTATGGGGAAAATTAATTCGGCTAATGATAATTTCGCCTAATGTTGATCTCTCAGGAACGGATTAATATTGTTAGGCGAGGGTCCACTGTAGTCCCGTTATTTCGTCTAAACATTGACTTGCAAATGGTCCGTTAACTCGCTAATTGTCTTTCGTCCTGGAGGCGTACTCACGGCTCTGAGCCGCCTTCCCAGTCAGTGTGCCATTGTTTACCAGTGAGCGACGGTCCCTTCACACGTTCATACAAAATATTTCATAATATTCCATTCATTTTAGTGCTTGCAAGTGCTAAATAAGCTATCATGGCTCCAGAGAAAGCTCCTAGTGCCAAACCTTTGGTAAAGAAGGTGAGAAATACAATTGAATTTAAGAAAAACATCATTGAACAATATGAAAGTGGCGTATGTGTGGGTGAACTGGCCAGGATGTATAACAAATCCCGTACAACCATATCTTCCATCATAGCCAAGAAAAAGGAAATCAAGGAAGCTGCTGTTGCGAAGGGGGTAAATATGTTGACAAAAATGAGATCACCAGTACTCGAAGATGTTGAGAAGTTATTATTGGTGTGGATAAATGAGAAACAATTAGTAGGAGATAGTCTTATGACGTCGCTTATTTGTGAAAAGGCTAGGCAGTTGCATGATGATTTGGTAAAGAAATTGCCTGCAACTAGTGGTGATGTGGGTGAATTTAAGGCCAGCAAAGGCTGGTTTGAGAGATTTAAGAAGCATACTGGCATACACAGTGTGATAAGGCATGGTGAGGCTGCCAGTTCGGACCAAAAAGCGGCTGAAAAATATGTGCAGGAATTCAAGGAGTACATAGAAGCTGAAGGACTGAAACCTGAACAAGTGTTCAATTGTGACAAAACAGGCCTCTTTTGGAAGAAAATGCCAAAGAGGACCTACATTACTCAGGAAGAAAAGGCACTGCCAGGACACAAGCCTATGAAAGACAGGCTGACACTCATGTTCTGTGCTAATGCTAGTGGGGATTTCAAAGTGAAGCCGTTACTAGTGTACCATTCTGAAAATCCCAGAGTGTTCAAGAAAAACAATGTTATGAAGAGTAAATTGTGTGTGTTTTTGGAGATCTAATAATAAGGCATGGGTCACGAGGGACATTTTCGCCGAAGGGGATTCCCTTTCCAAACAGTAATTCAATCTCTCCTCCTCCAGTCTTCCATACACTAAGAAGATTCGCCAATAAAGGTAAGTGTTATGCTGTTAATGTTTCATTCATCATGTGCTATTGTATTGTTTATGTACTACATCTATATTTCATGTAAAATTTTTTTTTGGTTAATACTTCTGGGTGTCAGGAGTGGATTAATTGTATTTACATTATTTCTTATGGGGAAAATTGATTCGAAAATCGTCTATTTCGATAATAGTCCCACTTCCAGGAACGGATTATGGACAATAATTGAGGGGCCACTGTACAGTGGACCCCCGACATTCGATATTAATCAGTTCCTGAGAGCTCATCGAATGTCGAAAATATCGAAAGTCGAATTAATTTTTCCCATAAGAAATAATGGAAATCAAATTAATCCGTGCAAGACACCCAAAAGTATGAAAAAAAAAAAAATTTTTACCACATGAAATATTAAGTTTAATGCAATAGAATAATTACAATACCAACAATAACAATAGATTAATAACAATAGAATAATAACAATAGAATAATAACTATAGAATAATTGACACTTACCTTTAATGAAGATCTGGTGATGATTGATGGGATGGGAGGAGGGGAGTGTGTGGATGGTGTTAGTGTTTAGAAGGGGAATGCCCTTCCATTTGGACTTGAACTGGCAGCCTCCCCATGCCTTACCACACTGTGTATGCCACTACGATTCTTAAATCTTTCAAACCAACCTTTGCTGGCCTTAAATTCACTCACAACACCACTAGTTGCAGGCAATTTCTTTACCAAATCATCATGCACTCCGACACACGCACTCCACTTTCGTACTTTACAATTATCTCTTTCTTCATTTCAATAGTCATTAGCACCTTTTTTCTCGAAGGGTTGACACTAGAAGCTTTCTTGGGGCCCATGGTTACTTATTTTGCAGAAACAAGCACCAAAAACAGTGATAATATGGATAATATGGAATGTACCGAATGTATCCTTAGATGCGCGCACACTGGCTGGCTTGTAAACACTGGCACACACAGGGCAGTTCAGGCCACACGTGGACATGTCTCGTATGAATCGTATCGAATGTCAAGGCAAAATTTTTGCGTTAAAATGCATCGAATGTCAGATTTATCGAATGTCGATGCTATTGAATGTCGGGGGTCCACTGTACGTATTTGTAGAAAATCGTGTGGGAGGTATGGCATCCTGCCTGGCCACTTATACCTACTACGACATTAAGCTCCCTAGAGCGATAAAATGCATATATACTAGTACACTCATTAAATACCTTAAAATATTTGTAGTCTTAATGTAAGGTGAGAGGTGAGTTTTATTTGTATGAAGTCAGGTTGGGAAGTATGGGAAGCCAGGAAGGGCAGCCCTCCACCACCCCACCCTCGCATAATGTAAACAAACCAGATGAACGTGTCTGGTTTTCGTCACAAGTCCTACAAGTTGCCTGGCTACCACAAGTCCTACAAGTTGCCTGGCTACCACAAGTCCTACAAGTTGCCTGGCTACCACAAGTCCTACAAGTTGCCTGGCTACCACAAGTCCTGCAGGTTGCCGGGCTACCACAAGTCCTACAAGTTGCCTGGTTACCAGTACTGTAGTCCTATAAGTTGCCTGGCTACCACAAGTCCTACAAGTTGCCTGGCTACCACAAGTCCTACAAGTTGCCTGGCTACCACAAGTCCTACAAGTTGCCTGGCTACCACAAGTCCTACAAGTTGCCTGGCTACCCCAAGTCCTACAAGTCACCTGGCTACCACAAGTCCTACAAGTCACCTGGCTACCACAACTTGCCTGGCTACCACAACTTGCCTGGCTACCACAAGTCCTACAAGTTGCCTGGCTACCACAAGTCCTACAAGTTGCCTGGCTACCACAAGTCCTACAAGTTGCCTGGCTACCACAAGTCCTACAAGTCACCTGGCTACCACAAGTCCTACAAGTCACCTGGCTACCACAAATCCTACTAGTCACCTGGCTACCACAAGTCCTACAAGTTGCCTGGCTACCACAAGTCCTACAAGTTGCCTGGCTACCACAAGTATTACAAGTTGCCTGGCTACCACAAGTCCTACAAGTTGCCTGGCTACCACAAGTCCTACAAGTCACCTGGCTACCACATGTCCTACAAGTCACCTGGCTACCACAACTTGCCTGGCTACCACAAGTCCTACAAGTTGCCTGGCTACCACAAGTCCTACAAGTTGCCTGGCTACCACATCTCATATAGAAGCATCAGG